TGAAACCCAAGACAATACAAGTTGATTTAGGGTAAAATTTACACTAATAATAATGAACACGATAATTCTAAACTTTTATGAATGTTGCTACTCGCTGGCTAGAAAGTTCATAATATTCAAGCAAGGCGGTGGTGGCTGCTGGGATCCAGAAACATGCCAAAGTGGTGTCAAATCATTAATGTGATCAATTAGAAAAACCTAATTATTTTACTCTAATGGGTGTAGTTAGCCTTTTGAATTAGGTCGATAATCACAAGTGACCATGGCACATGGCCTAATTTTATTAGGGTTTTTTCTTTATTTGGGAAGGGACCCAATTGCTCTTTTTCTGCCTTGCTAGGAAAAGCATGAGCACTTTTGTTGGTCATTTCGAATTAACAATCATTTAGCTACCCACTTTAAAAAGAAGAATCTGTTTCATCTCATGTTCTCAACATCCAAATTTGATTAGAAAACCAATGGAAGCAAGAGAAAAGGCAAAATAAAAAATTAAAAAAAATACAAGCAAACCCAGAAAAAATGAGATATGTAAGTGCGCTTTTTATTGTTTTTCCAATAGGTGGCTCCCGCATTTGAGAATTTTTTGATTCATCATATAGAATCTCTAAGTGGTTATAAAGACCTAACTTTAAAGATATATACACATGCATAAAATATATGTAAAGTCAGAATTGATCACTACATATAAATATATATCTTGCATAAATTATTAGGAGTTGATGATTTTTAAATTTTGAAATATTAAGAATGAATTCATGCAAAATGCATAAACTCATTTATATATGCATACCTTGACTCTATGGTTAAAACTAGGTAGGGGTTCAAATTAAATATCTACATAAAATAAATATACTACTAGTTGGATGAAAATTTGTATCCCACATCAACATGGGGGACAAATTTGCTGAAGTCTTTAAGTCCTTTTGTTATATAGGACTCCAATTAATTAAATATCATACACTTAATTACTTTATGCTGTTCCTATGCATGCTTTAATGTCTCTAGAAATCTAAATCGGCATCCACTACATCCACACTATGATCTCTGACTAATTTAAAAAGATTACAAACAAAACAATCTTTACTATAATCTATATTATTACTTGATCTCATTGCAAAATTGCACTTTATTCAACTAATCAAGATTAATGGGTATAATAATTACTCTTTGTTTGGTTCCTTTCTGACATCTTTGAAGTGGTTAAAGTTAAACATATGTGCACAAATGGGAATGATGAAAGCAATGCAATAATAGAGGAGATGAACAATAAAATAAAATAAAGGTAGATCTAGGACGGTGTGGTGGATGTGGGAATCCATATGTCTTCATTTACTTGCACTCTCTTTCTTGGTGGCAACTCCATTTGTATTCTTTCATTCCCTTTTTTTGTTTATATATAGTGGTTTTACTTTTCAAGGTGCGTAAGTGTGAGGGAATCGAAGGGATCGGAAAAATGGTGGGATGATTGTTGTTCCATTATTTGGTCAATATCCTCTCATAGTGGTTGCAAGCGTTTGCCCCTTCATAATTCAGTATAGTGTCGGGGGACCAAGCTAGGGTTTGGTTGTTTTAGAATTTGGGATTGAATCGTTTGACTTCTCTCTCATTACATTTATATATCCTTATGTGCATAGATCTGACCCCCTCTGATTTTTCATATCAATATTCTTCTTTGGGCTGTCTCTTTTTCTTTCTTTCTTTTTTTTTTTTTTTTTTTTTTGGGGGGGGGGGGGGACCCTAAAAGCAACAAAAAACTTGCATATGAGTCAAATAAGAGTAAAAAAAATTTAGAATTCAATTCCACGCTATTACTATATCTAGGTTAAATCCGAGCACCATCCCGACAAATATGTGTTGTACATTTATATGTAAGAAAGGTATTCTGTCTCCACTCAAGCTATAGCTATAGCTATAGCTAGTTAAGGTACAATGGAAAGAAGTTAGATGTAAATGCGATGAGCAAAAAGACATATCTAAGGACTTGTACCGATTGAGTCAAGTTTCTATCATGAAATGCATGTCTAGATCCACATCCCCAATCCACAACCTCCAAAATGGAAAAATGAAAATATCATACATAAATGACATGACAAGTATGTCTAGAGAGTGAAGTTGGGTCATAGCCAAAAAATGACACGAATAAAACCGCTCGGATAAGCTCCAAAGATATTAAGATAAATATTGGGGAGACATTACTAAAAAGAATTGACATTAATGATCGTGATTTAGGCATCTTTTTTATATTAGTGGAATAACTTAGCTAGGTATTATAAGTATCGAAACTTTCCATTGAATGAAAGGAATGGATGTCTTGTATGCAAAAGAATTTACTTTCTATGAATGGGAAATTTGGTGTAATTAAATGAATCCCTTATGAGTTGGAAAGATAAATGTATATTCCCAAGCAGAAGAAACACACCTAATTAGCTAGTCATGGTTTTGTCAAATCTAAATTCAATTTTTTAGGTGCAAAGTTCATTACAATATATTGGTTATACATAATATCAATCAGCATCTAACACATGACAATACAATTAAATTTAGTTACTTTTAATAAACCACCATAAAATTAGACAACAACTTGCATAATACGGAACTCAAATTTAAAATCTGTGGTACCAAAATCTCCATCTTAACCAGTACGTCAAGCTTTCATTGATAAGTCTAAATTCTAAAAATTAGAAAATGAAAAATAGCGAGACATTAAAGGGACTAATTATTTGAAGGGATACTTAATTATGAGTACATAGATATAAACCTTAAAGGGAATATTCATGTCATATTTCTGATTTTTTTAAAAACAATTTTCAGTTATCCCATCTAATAAATAACAAGGTTCACTAACATATCAGTAATTAATTTTGATAACAATTACAAAATTTTTAATTTATTTTCTTTCATTTAAAGAAAAAATAAATAAATGAGTTACAAAAATCAAAACGTTATGGGACTGATTAAAAAAGTTTGATGTAATTGGTTTATATTATAATTTGAAATTTGAAAATCATAATTTCTGTCATTAAAAATTGTCCCCAATTTGTTTTTCTTGCTTGTAACCTATCAAATAACCATTAGGAATCAATTTAGTAAAACCTTCATTAATGATGAACCTAAACTCAAATTCAGAACCTTAAAGATTGTCACCAAATCTTAGACCGAGTGCCATTTAACATTCTTTTTTTTTTTTCTAAATAAAATTTTTGACAATCTGTTGAACAACCTAACTATTGTTTAGTTAGTAATAATTTTCTTTACATAAAAGTAAAAAATCTCGAATCCAAGTGATAAAACTCGATTCCTTTTAAATAAAATCTTATGAATAAAAAAACAAATGTTGAGAGAATTTCTCCGTAATAAGGTTCAATACGACTTAATTTCAGATTAGTCAAAATTTAAAGTAATTACTAAATAGCGAGAAGTTAATATAAATAAAAAGTAAAAAATCTCGAATCTAAGTGATAAAAACTCAATTCTTCTTAAATAAAATCTTAAATTCAAATCTTATAAATAAAAAAACAAATGTTAGAAAGGCTTTTCTTTAATGAGATTCAATGTGACTTGATTTCAGATTAGTCAAAACTTAAAATAATTATTAGATAGCGAGAAGTTAATAAAAAAAAAAGAGTAAAAAATCTCGATTTTAAATTACATGGCATGTGAGTGTTATAAGATTAATAAATGCAATGAGATTAATATCACCATAACCCTTCTTTTCTTCGCTAACCATATCATGCTAAAGAAATTGAATTCCTAACCCATCACACAAGACTATCCTTGCATACCTATCCTCATTAATCCCCCTTAAAAGTCTCTTTTTAGGCGTGCATTCATCCTTTTAAAGTTTTTTCTTTAAGTGGTATGCATCTTCTACACCATGATTCAAGTAAAAAAAACAACAATTATTTTGAAAACGAATTAGTAATTAATTTCTTAGCAAAATTTTCTCATTATTATTATTGTGGTTTGTAAGATGACTCCATTTAGTGATTTGTTTTCCCAATTAATTTCAGAAAATATGAACTACAAGTGGTAAATAAATTGAAATTTACTCCTTGACAGTTAAGTTTGGACACGTGTATACGACATTCACGTGTGAAATAATCCACCATTCCCACGTTTTGTCCGTACAGCGACACCTTCTGCCATCGGAAGGGGACAACGGGACAACGTATCAAAACGGGGAAACTGCCTCTGGGCCCCACACAAACCTGGGCCACCATCACTTTTAAAATTTTT